CTCCCTTACAGCACCCTAGCTACAACCAACTAAGCTACTACATCCGCTGATCTAGGCTGGGGGACACGTACATGGGGTGCCAACCTAGCACCAACTGAATGTGTGCAGGAGAGTTTGAGGCCAATGGAATCGAAAAAAAAAGAGCCAGCCGTAGGCCCGGAACTTGTTATCTAATGCCCTCGACTGTTGGTCTTTCAAACTGTAGCGGACCCACCAGGTGTGGTGCTCCGCTAGTGACAGAGATGGAGATGGAGGAAGAAGGGGGAGCGGGATGGCACAACGCAGCTCCCCACGCAAGACTCCAACGCACGTACTCCAAAATGTGCAAGTGAAGAATGAGACTGAAAACAGACAATGGCTGGGGTATACTCCAGCGGACTAACAGGACTGGACTGGACTGGCTGGTACCGACAGAGGTACCGGCCTGGACTGGCCTATCCCGAATACAACACAGGCCTGTGAGAACAGGCCAAGGGCTGGTCTCACAGGCCAACCCGAGGTCCGCTACACGATCCTCGGCCTGTGATGGATCGCCTAGATACAAACATGCTTCCGCCAAGAAGCGGAACTCTACCAAAGAAAAGAAAACCTGAGTAGTCTAGAATGCGGAGCAAGCTGCATGCTGAGTCCATGCGATGCAACCTAGGATATAAAATGTCACAAAACAGCAATGTCACAGCTAACAGCCTAAGTGAAAGTAGAAGCAACTAACTAACATACATGTCCTAGGAAAGCAAAAGCAACTAACTAGCATATATGTCCTAGGAAAGCAGAAAGTAGTGACAACTAGATCCTAGAATGTTGGAGGCACTAGCCTCAGTCTGGTCACAACTGACTAATGTATAAGTCCTAAGAACAGCAAAAGCAGAACAACTAAATCCTAGAAATGTCGGAGGCAGTAGCCTCAGTCTGAGAGCATCAAAGCAATCAACAAGACAACCATATGTCACATGAGAAGTGTGTCGCAAACCAAAGGGTGGGATGGTCTCTGAGGGTGGCGAATGCAGCCTAGGGGTCGAAGCTCGTAAGGGCATCCACACATAGATTACAGGGAGACACATGTCATCAGGCTCAATGAGGGTAGGGAACTGAGAGCGAACAGAACCAATGACCTTAACAGATAGACCATCAGGGCGGGTAATGCTCGACTAAGGGGTGACCGCTATGGAGGGTCGACCATGGGAATAAGGGAGCCTGGTATACTGGGCGCACCTAGATGAAGCATGCGGGGCTGCCTAACTAGGGCGTGAGGGCCGGCAAAGGGTAGAAAGATGATGGGTAAGGGAATCATGCAAATGACTCCTAAAGTGAGGGAAGTCGGAGCTAGATCCGTAAGATGGGAAGCCAGGGCAAC